TAGTGCCGTTTCTGGCCAGCAGAAGGCAACAGAGTGCTCTCCAATCTGAACCTGCTCAAACTTCTGGTTTCAAAAACCACTGAAACCATTTTGAAAGCAATAGCTTCAAGTGTTAAAACGCTTTAGTGTTGCTTTGAGACATCTAAGCAGGTCTTACCTTGAACACAAAGTGTTAATATTTTCTAAATCTGTAGTAATGTACCTGTGATCCCACTATGAGACATGAAAGATGTGGTGTGCAGAGATCTTGCTGTGCTCCATTTTTTCATTCTAAATTCTCATGATTTAATATCACACTCACATGCAAGAGAAGAAGCACAATGACACTGCTTCAGCGCTCCATGTGGAGTTAGTCAGGGTCGTATTTCCATCAAAGGGCATGCACATGTTTACCGGGAAAATGCACGAGCACAAAGCCATAAATAAGACCTGAAAGCTTGATGCATGCCTTTTGTTTATGATGCTGCTTCCTACAGAGACGCGTGTGTGTGTTTGTGTGGCTGGAGGTGAGGATGTGGTGTTTGGAAATGTAAGCATGAAGAGAATCGATCTGAAACACACTCCTGCTTCTGAGAGGTCATTGTTCAGCACTGGGTTGTTTGTCAGGATCTTGCTGATGGTTTTTGTTGTTCCCTGCTGTGCCTGTACTCTCCATGCTTCTCAGTCAGCAAACACGCAGCCAGCAGGACGGTTTGATCACAGCAGGTTGGTGGTGGGAGATTTAATCCAGTGGTGAGGCTAGAACTTGTAGCGGTGGCACCAGAATAGACAGTGTGGCTTGTTGTTGAGGGACAAGAGGAGGAATAACAACTGAGGTGCTTAACGGAAGCGTAAAATAAGCCATTCATGGTCTATATGCTGTTTCTTTTACTGCTAGCTGATCTAAAGGAAGTTCTTTTTGTTGTTTCATCATTGTTAGCCGCAGTTGTGTGGTTGGAACTGGACAATAAACACGAAGAAATGATTTAATTTTCAGGAAATTCAATTTAAAATGAAACATTTAGAATGTCACTTCGAGATTTAAATCAGAATGTCATTAGAAACATGAAGTTATTGCAAATGGTCAGTTTAATAGAAATATTGAGTCTTGGGGCAAAAAGGTCCAGCTAGCAGAGTGGTTCTTAAACTGGGAAGTTTCTGTTTCTTGATGAAGTGGAGAGTGAGGAAGCACATGAGTGATTATCAGGGGTGTCAAACAGTAGGAAGAAAGAGAGGGAAGGGGGGGTTGATGTGTGAGTGTGTGTTAAAGGCATCTTTCCTGTGAGCTGTCCTTAATGATGTGTGCTCTGAGGATAAAAGGCTGTAATTGGCCCTGTCCTTCCTCCACAGCTTGTGTTTGCTCAGACAACACACAGGACAAATGGAACTATTTTTGTGTGTTTGCCTAGATGTGTGTGTGTGTGTGTGTGCGTGCGTGTGTGTGTGTGTGCGTGTGTGCGTGTGTGCGTGTGTGTGTGTGTGTGTGTGTGTGTGTGTGTGTGTGTGCGTGCGTGCGTGTGTGTGTGTGTTGGCTAGATGTGGGCCAGTTCTAGTGGAGGTTTCACTCATGATGTGCAGCTGGAGGAGGACAGGAAGGAAAAGGATGCGTGAGCGTATCTCCAAGATAATAAGATTAGTATTTATTTATCGACCACTCATGAAGCAGCACAGTGATAGTAGAGCAGAGAGGAATATATTTATTATTTGCAAATGTGGCAATCCTCAAAGGTTTCCTAAGGTTTTCATTTAAACTTTTTATTCATTATTCAGTCATTTGCACTTATTTTTGTCCTGTTAGTGTACCTCAAAATGTCCATGAATGAATGTTTTTCTGTTGTTTTTATTTACAAACTAGACCATTCAAGCATGAAGTGGCTTTAGAAGCACCTTCTTGGTGTAAACAAATCCCGCTTAAACGTCCAAATCAGGCACTTTTTAAAATACTGTCAAATAATGACATGTAAATTATTTACCTTTACGACAAGGCTGCAGGTTATGAGATTATGTGTTGATGCAACACTGCTATTTTATCACTTGGTGCTTTGAAGTCAGCAGGAACCAGTTTTCATAGAAAAATAAAATTCTCAACATTAAATGTAAACAAAGACAACGACCAACTTCACTCACCCTTTAAGTAGACAACAGCCCAGCTGGCGGCCGCGGCGTGTCGCTGACGGGTTTTAAACTAGGTGTGACTGAACTGGTGAAGGTGTGAAGGAACAGAGCATTGCCACGTGTAGGTTAAGGGGGACAAGTCTGTGAAGGCTTGGTGGGACGTTTGATGCCCCGTGTGCTCGCAGCTGCTCCTCCAGCTGTCCCAGTAACATGATGCAGCCCTGGGTGAAAGAAGCAAGAAGGTGACCGCGTCAAATCCAGGCACCTCTGTAGTTGCCGGTGACTCGGGGGAGAAGAAGAAGAAAAGATCTTTTCTGTAACGCCTCTCGAAGATAAAAATCACGAGGCGCTTAGGGAAGAGAGTTGGTTGTTGTCTCCTTTATGTTGGGATGATATCAGAAAACACACTTTTTTTATCAGTATTGCCTCACACACATACACCCGGGTCTATCAGAAGAAGTGGAGGAGGAAAGAGAGAAAGTGTCTTTTTGTCATCTTTTTTCTAATAAATGAATGATTTGAACCAGAGTTGAATCACTCGACGGGTCTTTTTTCCTGCTGGACAAAAACAAAGTTTGTTGCTTGTTCATTAAAGAGCCCTCGTTGTCTCACCGAGCTTACACTTGAGCACACACACACACACACATTACTCCGATTCTTGTGGCTCATTATCATTCCAGTCTCTTTCCAGTTTTAGCCATATACACCAATTGACATTTATGTTGGGCCATAAAACAATGTCATTAAGTGAGCAGTGCTGTTTAGAAAAGCCAAGCTCCACCATCGTCACCGCTGTGAGGAGCAGAAATCACTTTTTCCATCCATTCAGCACTCCGACCCTAACGGCTGCTTCTGCTTCAGTACTGCAGGAGGACTGAGATGAAGAGCACTTTGAACAAGGGTGTCAGCCGACACATTTGTGGGTGCTTCCACTCTCTTTTCAGGGTCAGGGTTTGGTGATGGTACGAGTCAGCTCTTTGTGCAAATGCAGAGTTTGATGGAGATTTCTGTGCAGCCTCCATCAAGGTCCTGAAGCTGATTATTGTGGTGGCTCTTTAAATAATCAGAGTTTACATGTATTCATCATCATCACACTGTAAACCACTTGAGTGTTTGCATTCTTTCCTCTTTTTCCGTGGTGTGAAAAGTGGTAAAAGCATCGTCGGTTCAGTAGTGTTTGAATACTTTTTGTAATTATGCATTAAAGAGAAATTCTGTGCTTAAGAATGAAAATTAGATTTAAAAAAATCCAGTTGTGTGTAAAAACATTTGTTATTTTAAATACAATTATTAAAAGTAATTAGAAATATTTAACAAATAAAAGATGTTAATCATCTGATAAAAATGACTGAAGTTGCATAAAATATTTAATTCCCCTTTTGATCAATAATTTTCTTCTCCTTTGTTTGTTTTTAGAGTAAATCTGGGATCCATTCCTGTTGAGATTACCATCTTTCATTAAAATAAACCAAATTAAAAACAATAGATCATTGCAGACCTAAACAGAGAAGAGTCCCTTGTTAGTCTAGTATCCACTTTAAAGGTTTTACTTGATCTTCCATTCAGATTCTGGACTAGAATGTCAGATTATGCATGAGGAGCCATGGGAGCGCCTTTTGTTGTGGAGTTCACTGACCACAGTTAAATGAGCTGCAGGCCAGATGAGAAGCCGAGTAACTGAAAGCAGATCTGTTTGAGGACAGTATGACATCAGTCAAGACCACAGCTCTGAAGAGCAGAATGCTAGTGGAATAATCCAAATATAGTGTTCCAACAACCTAAATGCATGTCTCACAATTATGTCCTCTCATTGTAAAAATGTTTGTTTACTTTAAGTTTTTCTGTGGCTCCTTTAATTTAACACTTCATTTAAACTGTTGAACTCTGTGTTTTAGGCCTTCCTCATCCGTTTGCCATCACTGTGTTTGAGGACAGCCTCTACTGGACCGACTGGCACACTAAGAGCATCAACAGTGCCAACAAATTCACCGGCAAGAACCAGGAAGTTATCCGCAACAAACTGCACTTTCCCATGGATATACACACCCTGCACCCTCAGAGGCAGCCTGCAGGTTGGTATGAAGACCGCTAGTCTTTCATTGTGAGAAATGAAAAATCCCTGATGGTGGAGGATAAGTGTGAGTTAATCAAATCAGCCTCTCTGTGTTTAACCCTCTGAATAAATCACTTTTGTGGCTGAAAAGCCTCTAAACCAGAGAGAAGACTTCTGAAGGCTTCTGTATTTCAGTCAGGTGGCTTAAAGAGCTCCAAGTGAGGTTTTTCTTTCAACTGTGCCACAGTTTTGTTATAAAGGGTAAAAAATAATGCTCTTAACATTTTAAGAAAATGTCCAAATTAAACATAAACAATTGGAATAAAGTTCTGAATATCTGAAGCAAAAGCCTTAAAAGGAACTTCTGCACAGAAGTAAAACTTATCTCTGGGATGAGGGAGTGATTTGTTGTACTTAGTGCTGGAGCCTGTGGTGAACTGGCGCGGCGACTAGTCTTCATCAGCATGACAACAAAGACTTGTGCTCCGTGATAATAAACTTTGTTACAGTTGACAGACGGCCAAGAGAAGGTTTTTGTTTTCCTGGTGATGAAACTGTTGTAACAGTCTGACACTAATATGAACTGCGAGCCGCCTCTGGGTTGTCAGAGCGAGGTCAGGCACCGATCCATTTGGTTCCGCTGGGATACTTCTGCCAGTCATTTGGGCTCATGTCTATGGAAAGGTCCAGCTCACCAGAGCTGTAGTGAAAACCAGATGCACACTAATGCCCAGAGAGGATAATACAACCTAAACTCTGCAGTTGTTGGAAGTTACATGAGACATTTTCGACATTTTAATCTGTAGGATTACCACAGCAAGAAATTTGGGGGAAAGCGAGGTGAATGCATGAAAATATGTCAAGTTTAAAGGCCAAGTTCACAGAGAAACCGTCTTTTACTTGTTGTTTTTTAATTAAGATCAGTCCCTCTGAGTTTAACATGTAGGCTAAATGATCCTCCACCCCTTTTTCCTGTATTAGCCACTGATAGAAAATAGACGGGGAAACTCTTGGGTTAGAAATGCCTGTCAATGTTACATTATCCAGTTGGCATTCATGGACTCACCCAGGGCTTATGAGCAGGAAGGCTGTTGTTGACTTAGCCTCCAGGAGAGAGCAGAGCACGTCTTGATTAGTAGAAGCTAACTGTTAGCATTATCAACTCCACCACACAGCGAAACTCCTTCAGGCTTGTGTTATTTGTGGAGATAAAACATCAACATTGCAAAGCAAACAGAGTCAATGGTAGAGTTGCGTTGCTGTTAGCCAATCAGTGTAGAGATGACCGAATATCAGGAAATAAGACTCCAAATCGTACTGTCTTCTGTTCACCTCTGCTCCAGCTGACTTCTAGTTCCTGAAACAGGAGCACCAGAGCTTTTTCCCACAGAGATTGACTCACGAGGCATTAATTTATACTAGAAAACACTGCAGATGTGTCGAAAAAGCAAGTGAGCTTGGTCTTTAAAAAAATTTGTTTCTAAATACAAAACCATCGTTTCCTGATGTGTCTGATTGCTTCTCCTGCAGGTGGAAGAAACCGCTGTGGTGCCAATAATGGAGGCTGCAGCCATCTTTGTCTACCCAGCAACAAAACATACACCTGTACTTGTCCCACTGGCTTCAAGAAAGTGGACCACTACAACTGTGCTGACAGTGAGTTCCTTAACGACTGTTTTTTAAAAATGTTTTATGATTTATTTTACATTTTAACGTCCAATTAATAAATATACCATCAGTTCTGTCTAGAAACTATAGGTAACTCCAGTTAGTAAAGCTAAAACTATGACGTGTCCTGCTAATTTGTTTCTTACCTTCAAAAAGATCATTTAGTAAAAGACAACCCCTTTCTTTAAATTGAGCACTATTCCTCTAATTTACATTTTTTTTTTTGTTTTGTTTTGTTTTGTTTTTTCACCTCATCTGACTCTTGGCTGCAGTTTTACTCATAAAACACCACAGGCTCACAGACTAAATAGGAGACATTAACCATTAATGGTTAACCATTCACTGCCAGCCGTTTCCTGATCGGTAAAGCCCTTCGCTGCCAGCATTTTTCAGCATTTTCACAGTTTTTTTTAAGAGTCACAGAAGGTTGCGCGCTAGGATGATGTTAACGCCAAAACTAACATAACAAAGAGTAGAATCGCCTCTTACATTCGGAAGAATCCGCGTGTTTCGAGCGTTATGCGTTCTTTCGTAGTCCGTTGTCTAATTGTGATCGGCAGAAGCTTTTCCGGTTCGCGCCTCACCTTTTTTTACAGCAGCGGCCCAAAACGATCTCCTAACACATGGATTTTCTGCTTTCTGATCACGTGTCGTGTGATGTATGCGGATGAAGATCGGCTTTAGAGCTGGGATGTTTGTTCTCACTGTGCGGGGGCTCGTTCCGACGCCCACACAGTAAAAAAAATTCAAATGAGGACTTTTGTCATCAACGGCAGTGAATGAGTTAATCTTGCAACACACACTCTTAACTGGACCAGACTGGGAGCTGCTGGTAGAGTCTGGAGTTTAAGAAAACAAATGAGTGTGTAGAAGATCAGAGGACACCCACTTACAACAACAGCTTAGTTAACAGACATTTTTAATTATCTAAACTTTGTTTAACCACATAACGCAGCCAAATGAGTTAATGCTCTTTAAAAATGTCCTAATGTATAATTGAAATAGATGAGAAACATCTGAGTCCTCCACACCCTCTGGTTTTCAACACATCTGAACTGTATTCTCATCCGTCTTTATGATTTATAAAAGGCTTCTGATTTATGATATTAGTCAGTTGTTTAGTTGACTTTTCCTTTTGAGAGCTGCTAGATGTGTCTGTGGTGATGCTGTTTTGCTGTGTTTACTGTTGACTCCACTGTTGAACCTAGAAGACTGACAGAAGACCTTTGGTCTTTAATCAGGTCTTGACAAGTTCCTGCTTTTTGCCCGAAGGCCGGACATCCGACGAATCAGCTTTGACACCGAGGACATGTCAGATGATGTCATCCCTCTGGCCGATGTGCGCAATGCTGTGGCGCTGGACTGGCACGACAAAGACGGCTACATTTACTGGACAGATGTCACTACTGACTCTATCAACAGAGCTCTGTGGAACGGGACCAACCAGGAGGTCAGTGACAGCCGGACTGAACACACCACTTATCTCTTGATCTGGTGAGAACAGTGTGCAGAAAGGGAAGGAAGGCGGCTGTTTTTGAGATGATGGTGTACTGCCATCTACTGGGAGTGAACGTAAAGCACAACATCAGATTAAAGTTTCTTCTCTAAATGGAGAACGTAATATTTGTAACATCTGAAAGGACAACTGTTCAGGTGCTTCCAAAAAATAAAATTGAAATACCACCTTTAGACATGGACCTTTGTTCTCCTTTGCTGAATGTGTTTCTTTTCAGCCTGTAAAACAAGTGGAAATGATGATTAAGATGCATTTTCTCCTGGTTTGGTTGGTTTAGGTGGTGGTGGATAACAGTCTGGAGAGTCCAGCAGGTCTGGCGATTGACTGGGTAACTAACAAGCTGTACTGGACTGATGCAGGTAAACAAAATAATCTCATTAAGTTAGAAAGTCCTCAAGCGACCAGCATTTTACTAACTGAGCCTGTTTTTGGTGTCAGGTACGGATCGTATCGAGGTCTCAAATGCCGATGGGAGCATGCGGACGGTTCTGATTTGGGAGAACCTGGATCGACCCAGGGACATTGTAGTCGATCCAACTGGAGGGTAGGATCATTTAAGAAGTTTTAAAAGTAACTTTCCCTAAAAAGACTCTAAATGGACTTTTTATATTTTGTCCTGTTTCTGTAGCTTCATGTACTGGACCGACTGGGGAGCCAACCCAAAGATTGAGCGTGCAGGAATGGATGCCTCTAATCGTATTGTAATAATTTCCTCTAATCTGACGTGGCCCAATGGACTCGCCATTGACTATGAAACTAAACGTCTCTACTGGGCTGATGCGGGCATGAAAACCATTGAATATGGCAACTTTGATGGTTCTGACAGACAGGTAATTGGTGTTTTATCCCCACCTGTCAGTTTAAAGAAAATTGTAACAACTTAGGAGTATTTACAGCTCTGTGACTGTTTTTCCTTTTAGGTTTTGATTGGTAGTCAGCTTCCTCATCCCTTTGGACTCACTGTACACGAGGACAAGCTGTACTGGACCGACTGGCTGTCCAAGAGCATCCAGAGTGCTGATAAGCTCACCGGTTTGGGCCGCCACACGCTGGCTGAAAACTTGGAGAATCTAATGGACATTCATATGTTCCATCGGCACCGCGAGAAAGGTCCGTTTGCATCTGCAGTCCTGTTTCTGTACATCACCCATGTTTGTCTCCATGCAGCTTTTATTCCAGATGTCTTTTTAAAGTCAAATTTTCCAAACCCGGAGCGCTGAATGCAAACATTTGCATTTTTTCGGCCGTAATAATAAAATCATCCAGAATTGAAAACCCCTGAAGGTTTTAGTTTTTGTTTTGTTGTGTTTTTGATTGAAATGAAATGGAAGAAGAAGAAAAAAGTGTTATTTCCACGAGTAAAAGTAATTTTCCTGACTTATGGTTGCTCCCTTTTATCTGCACTCATATCCAGTATTTGATCATTCACTTGAGGTTTCAGGTAAATTAAGCCCAGATCATTGGCTGGGAGGGCAAAGGCTGGACTGAAACCGGGTTTTTTTTTCTGATTTGGGAGGTGATTCTATATCCCCAGAGGGGTTTTTTATTTGTTCCTCTTTCTCCATCACCTGTCCCATTCTTTTCTGCTGAGCTTACATTGAAAGTAGGTCAGTGGGGGGTTTGAGTCTATTTGTCTGTGTTTCTATAGTGCACAACCCGTGTGCTGTAAATAATGGAGGCTGCAGCCACCTCTGTCTCCTGGCGCCGGCTCCCAAGGCTTCCAGCTGTTCCTGTCCCACAGGGATCAACCTGCAGAGCGATGGGAAGACCTGCACACCTGGTACATGAAGAAACCCTCCTAGTTACATTAGATAACATCCTAGCTAAGCCCTGTTTGTTCTCTAACTAGAATGTTTCATACTGTGTATTTTTGTGTATTTGTGTAGGCATGAGCAGGTTCCTTATTTTTGCTCGGCGGACCGACATCAGGATGGTTTCCTTGGATATCCCCTATTATGCTGACGTGGTTCTTGCTGTCAATAGCTCAATGAAAAACACTATTGCCATTGGTGTCGACCCTAAAGAAGGTTTCTTCTTAAAGTTTTTCAATTCGCAATAAAAAAGCAATTGGATGCAGAAATGGAGGCCTTATGGATGTGTGTCCCTTCCTGCAGGAAAAGTCTACTGGTCCGACAGTACGCTGAAGAAAATCAGCAGATCCAACATCAATGGAACGGCACACCAAGACATCGTATCCACAGGTGGACATGGACTAGTCATGTTATCACAGTTCCTGTAGGATCTTATCGTTCATGTGGTCTTGACCATGGCTCTGTTTCCCTTTGTAGGGTTGATGACAACTGATGGACTAGGGGTGGACGCTGTCGGCAGGAAGGTCTACTGGACAGACACAGGAACCAACCGTATTGAAGTGGCCAACCTGGATGGCTCCATGAGGAAAGTTCTCATCTGGCAAAACCTTGACAGCCCTAGAGCGATCGCCCTCTACCATGAGATGGGGTGAGAGTGTGGTAGCAGCTCAGTGCATAAACATTTGGTAGAAATCTTTGATAATGAGTTGATCTTGTGTTTAAATGTTTACTTTTTGTTTTTCATGGGCTTTTTGAATTTTTCCAGTTATATGTACTGGACGGACTGGGGAGAACACGCTAAACTGGAGCGTTCAGCGATGGATGGAACAGGCCGCGTGGTTCTCATTAATAACAACCTAGGGTGGCCTAATGGTCTGGCCATTGACATGGCAGGATCACAGCTGCTGTGGGCTGATGCTCACACTGAGGTCAGTAGAAACTTCGCCCAGGTGTGCTAACCCTAACCCTGCTCCATTACCAGCCCTTTTATTCAAACAAAATTAGTCCTAATAGGAAAAACTTAACAAAGAGGTCCTTTAAAGCACAGTACTTCATATTATATAGCAAATTCTTTAAAATCCTGTTCAAAAGTAAAATGCTTTTGATACAGAAATGGGTTTTCAAGATGTTCTGACTCACTCAAAAGTCAATAGGAATGGTATGACAGAGCTCTGATAGTTTCCCTCATCTTCCCTGCAGCGCATTGAGGTGTCTGACCTGAACGGGCAAAATCGGCGTACACTGGTGACTCCTGTCCAGCACCCCTACGGTTTAACCCTCTTGGGCTCCCATATCTACTGGACCGACTGGCAGAGTCGCAGCATCCTGCGAGCCGACAAGAACACCGGAGCCAATAGCATCACAGTGCGAGCCAGTCTGCCGGGCCTGATGGACATTCAGGCTGTGGACAGGGAAAGGCCGCTAGGTAAGTCTTAGGATGAGAAGTGGATTTTATTTCCACTGTTAACTCATTCACTGCCAGCTGTCTCCTGATCAGAAAAGCCCTTTGCTGCCAGCAGTTTTCAGCTTTTTCACAGTTTTTTAAAGAGTCACAGAACGTTCCACGCTAGGATGATGTCGATGCCAAAACTAGCAAAACAAAGAGGAGACTCGCCTCTTACATCAGGAAGAATCTGCAAGTTTTGAGCGTTATCCGTTCTTTCATAATCCGTTGTCAAATTGTGATCGGCAGAAGCTTTTCCGGTTCGCGCCTCACTTTTTTTAATAGCAGCGGCCCAAAATGATGACACGTGGATTTTCTACTTCCTGATCACGTGTCGTGTGACGTACGCTGATGAAGATCGGCTTTAGAGCTGAGATGTTTGTTCTCACGTTGCGGGGGCTCGTTCTGACGCCCACACGGTAAAAAAAAAAGCTAAGTTAATGAGTTAAATGTAGTTGATTGCTTGTAAGTGAAGGTTTGTGTGATATGGCCAATAGGTAAGGTTTTGTGTGAAACTGTAGAATTTCTGGTGCACTGTTTCTCCCTTGCATCAATTTTTGTTGCCTCGTTCCTTTTAGGTTTTAATAAATGTGGCAGGAACAATGGAGGTTGCACCCACCTCTGTTTGCCTCGTCCCAACGGAACTTCCTGTGCCTGTCCCACTGGCATTCTTCTCAAAGGGGACGGCAGGTCGTGTGACGACTCCCCTGAGACGTACCTTCTCTTTTCCAACCGAGTCAGTGTGCGCAGAATCTCCCTGGACACCAACGACCACACTGACGTGCACGTACCGGTGCCCGAGCTGCACAATGTCATCTCACTGGACTATGACAGCGTAGATGGAAACCTTTACTACACGGATGTCACCCTGGACGTTATCAGGTAAATCCACAAACAGCTACTTTGGCTTTACATTATTTTTATTTTTGTTTGTTTTTTCAGCTTTTTGTCAGCTGGAAATTTTTAACAAGAGTCAAACCAAAACGTAGAATTTGAATAAATTTTGCCAAAATCGTCAATGTCAACTGTTTATGTTGTGCTCTAGGCGGGCAAATCTGGATGGCACTGGCATGGAGACCGTGATCAGCCAAGGCCTGAAGACCACAGATGGCTTGGCTGTGGACTGGGTGTCCAGAAATATGTACTGGACAGACACGGGGCGCAACACCATCGAGGTGGCCCGCCTGGATGGGACTAGCCGCAAAGTTCTGGTGAACAACAGTCTGGATGAACCTCGAGCCATCGCTGTGTTCCCCAGTAAAGGGTAAGGGTGGGATCAGTTAGTGAGCTGTTGATGGAAATGTAATTTAATTCACTGTTTTTATAATATATACCAAAATAAAATATTTTTTATGCCTAAACATGCCAATTGTGATGAGTACCCAGGGCCTGGTGTGTTTAGTGACGTTGAGGTTATTTATATACTTGCAGTTCATAAATTAAACCACTAGATGTCTCCATACATGGCGGTAATAATCCATACTCATGTTCATAAACTAGGAAGCACAATAAAATAAATGGTTTATAGTTATTTCTAATATGTTTAAATGTTTTGTCTTAGTGTGGAAATGTACTTGTGTGTTCAGTCATTTTTATTTATAAGATAAAATTTGCATCTTTTCTTCCTTGTGTTTGCAGGTTTCTGTTCTGGACCGACTGGGGTCACATTGCAAAGATCGAGCGGTCTCATCTAGATGGCTCGGACCGAAAGGTTCTGATCAATACGGACCTGGGATGGCCCAATGGTCTCACTCTAGACTACGACACCCGAAGGTTAGATGAGGAAGCATGTCTGGGATCCCTGTTATTCCATTTGAAAAAGCATCCTATAACTCTTATTTAGATGTGAGGAAATAATTCTCTACCAAGGGTCTCTCAGAGCATAATGAGTGTCACATCATGAATGTTATTAGCATGCCAAAGTTTCGGTTTTTATAGCTCACCCACTAGTTTCTGGTACATAAAAATGTGTCTTTGATGGTTTCTTCTGCAGGATTTTCTGGGTGGACGCCCACTTAGACAGAATTGAGAGTTCGGATCTGAATGGGAAACTTCGCCAGGTCCTCGTTAGTCCGGTGTCCCACCCGTTCGCCCTCACCCAGGTATCCGTCCTAGCGCTGTTCACTCTCAGCTCAGCTGTGAATCTCAAGGCTGACCCTTCCTCCTGGCTGCGTCCTCCACTCACCAGCTCTGACTCATCGGCTCACCGTGTGATTCACCTCGTCGCCTCTTCGTTCTCCAGCTCATACCGAATCCATTCAACTTAACCATTTCTTCTACTTTCCTTCCACTCATTTTTCTTCCTCCTCTCCCCCTTTCCCTCCCCTTTCTTCTTCCCTCTCCCCTGCTCCTTGTCTGTGTTTTTCCTCCTCTCTTCTTCTCCCTCGTTTCCCCAGTCGAAGCCGGTGTCCTCCCCTCTAACTCCTTTCTCCCGACTCTCGCAGCAAGATCGTTGGATCTACTGGACGGACTGGCAGACTAAGTCCATACAGCGTGTGGATAAACACACTGGTCGAAATAAGGAAACCGTGCTGGCCAATGTGGAGGGCCTCATGGACATTATTGTGGTATCTCCTCATAGACAAACAGGTAAGGCGTTTTTCCTGTCCCACACCACAAGAGTGATCACTGATAAATAAAGAATTTTACTGGGAAAGCAAACACAAAAGTATGAACTACCCTTAGTGTTACCAAGTGATCAGGTTGCTTCTCACTACAAGAGCTTTCCTAAAGTCCAACGCTTTTAAACTCAAGTAAAATACACATTAATGTCAGCTAGTTTACTAATCGTGCCTACTTCCTATCCTCCCCTGACTTGTTAGTGTCTCTGTTATCCTGGTTTTTGGGCAAGATGGGGTGATCGTGTTCCTGAAGGTGTGAACGTCTGTGAAACAGTTTGGGGATTTGGTTTAAAGCTGTGTTGTGCAATTGGACAAATTTATTGACCATCGGTAGTAAGCTGAACTCTTCACCAATCATTATTTAAGAGCGATACGTTTTTATGTCTAAGGCCAAATTGGTATTTTTTGCAACACTCAGGTAGTTGAGATAGTGAAGCCACTTGGAAATTCTAAGTAATTGACTTACTAAATCCCACCTGTGCATATCCAGGTGTTCGTGTCTGTTCACCATCATTTACTTACAGAAACGCCCTCAATTAACCCTATTTGGTCACACCACGTCCTCAGATCATGAGGGGATTCCCTGAGCTTTCCCCGGAAAAAATAAATTTAACTTTATTGATAGTGAGGTTAAGACACTGGGTACCAAAGTGCAAAATAACCAAACGAGTTAAAAGAAAGAAAGAAAGATCTTTTTTATAGTGCCTCTCAAGATAAAAATCAGAAGTCGCTTCACAAAAACAAAAAAAATGTTAAATAGAAAAAGATTTTTTTAATGACAAAAAATGTTTAAAATGACTAAAAATAAAAATTGCTATAAAAAATGTAAGGAAAGGGAGAGAGAAAATGAATAGGATAGCGGGAATAGGTGGAACGAGCAGAATAAGGAGAGGGTGCAGAAGTTGTAAACACAGTTGGGACAGAGGAGAAGTGCAAGTCAGAAATAAAAACTTAATATGATAAATTGTAGAGTAACGGGTTGTTGTTTACATTTTACATTTAGGGAGTCTGAGTTAGTTTTACTTGGAAATGTCTGACACTGCAGCCTCTTCTGAGCTGTCATTCAGTCTGGTTACCTTGGCAACGCGTGTGTGATCGAGAAGGAGAGGGGGTTCTGAGGGGTTCCCGTAGTTGTAAAGTGGAATATTGCAACTTTTTCAAAAGTGTGCGGTGGACTCCCCGTAGCGTCGAGTACGTCATGTTGTCCAATAGCTTGTGGAGATGGTTAGAAAGACAACCTGCGTCACAACTGAGCTTTCTCTACGGGTTGTAGCCAGACTATATTTTCACATATATAGGATAGCTTGCCAGGTTAGGATGTTACATGAGACATTTTTGCTATTTTAATCTGCAGGATTACCATAACAGGAAATTTATGGGAAAACGAGGAGAATGCATTGTAATTGAGACTTGTCTAAACGTCACCTGCATGAATATATAGCCATCGTCGTTGGTTGGACTCCTCCTTGACGTTGGTTTTTCCTTCTCCATGTTGATCATTCCTGTCCCTTATCCTTAGGATATAAGTGGACCACCAAAACCTGACCTAAGGAGTTTATCATTTATGTATGTAGCTGTTGTTTGGTTACCTCCTCGCTGCACTAAACCACACACACACACACACACACACACACACACACACACACACACACACACACACACACACACACACACACCACCACACAAATTCTGTTTCAGTGTGTTGTCCTTTGGATCAACCAGTTCTGTCTCAGATTGTTGTTGAATTTTAGGTTCACTGATGTGTTTTAATCACTCTCAGGATATAAAAGGTTCTCCAGCAATATTCAACATAGGAAATCTGACGTTTCAAACCCCCCCCCCCCCCCCCCCCCACACACACACACACACACACACACATACATTGAAGCTTTGAATCTAATCCTGAGTTTCACGGCAGTTCACGCTGTAGGAATGAAGACATTCACCGCACATGAAACCATGACTTTAATGATGGATTTGTTTGACTCTGTACAGTCAATCGATCCTTGTCAGACACGTGACCTGCATGACAGCCACACTCCCTTAGCGCCATTTTAGGTGTATGACTCGCATTGCGAGGGGAAGCCGCAGCTGAATTTGAAGCAGAAGAAGAGTCAATAGGATGGATAAAAAGAACAAGGACGAATGCATCCCGTACAGGAATAATCTTGTAAAGGAAGATAGAGATCGGTATTTTGAAAGATTGTCTAGTCGACGTTGTAGATCTCTACAACCTCAAAGGAGACAAACGGAGCTCAGACGTTTCGTTACCGCTGAGAACGTATCGCTCGAGTAAGTGTAGCACTACTTCAACATATTTATAATTATGTAAAAGTAAAAGGCCAGAAACATGACTCCACTAACACAGGCATTGCACCAGGATTTATTTTCTGGAGGGGCCTTAATTAAACAAGTTAATACCAATATAAGCTACAAGCAGGTACAGACACAACACCTACATCTAGAGGCCGCGCAAGACAGGTTTGTTGTCATTTTGACCAACAGAGCTGCACGATCGTTTCCTCTCGTCATTTTCGTTTCTCATGTAATGTGTTTAATCTAAACAAGCTGACCAGCGTGTCCAGCAACATATTAATGTTACGATTAAACAATTTCACTTCAAGTAGGAACACTTTACCTGCTGTGTTCTGGTTCTGCTGCTGCTGTGACCCACAGACGCACTCTGAGCTCCTCTCCATGGTTCCTCAGCGCGCTGATAACAAGCTGAGCTGACCATGGTGTCCAGGTCTGAAATAAGGTTCAGATGTTCTGATGGGAATCTTTTCCTGGTATATGTTGTTACCTCTGTCATGTTCTCTGTGCGTAACGTTTAAAATGTCTGCACGCCTGCATACAGCGGGGTAATTCCGGTCTGTCAGAATGACCAGCAGCCTTGAGATTTCTTCGTCAAAATAAGCGGTCAAAAATGGAAAATATCCGGTTAACGCGATCCTTCCTACATTTAACAGTTTTGTATTCTTGTGAAGGTAGCGTGGCAGCCCTTCACACAGCACGAGTGCACCAGGCATTTTCTGCTCACGACACACAGAGCGACCGGTGCTTCCTTTGTTTATACACCTAGCTATCCCATCATGCAACACGCTACAGCACTCGATACGTCACCTGACAAGGACCGATTCTCCTGTTTTCTCATTATGAATTGAGCCAAACTAAGAGAACAAAAGCTTTTATTTTGGACAAATTTTGGACTTTTCGTGAAGCCAGTTGTGAATAATTAATCTCCTCTTGTTTAGGGACCAACCTCTGTGGGGTGAATAACGGCGGCTGCACCCACCTCTGCTTTGCCAAAACAAACAGTTTTGTTTGTGCCTGCCCAGATGAACCAGATGGACGACCCTGCTCCACTAGTGAGTGTTCTCCACTTAGTCTCTGCCTTAAGCCTAACGTGAAAAATAAAGCTGTTTGAATAAGGGTTCATGTACATGTGCTCAGGTAGATTGTTTTTCAAGCACATCGTTGTGTTCCCAATGGGAAATTCACCTCTAAATCCAGTCATTTGCATTTGAAAAAAGGCTGATTAATGCTTTCAAATATTATCTAAGACATGCAGATATGATCAGTAACACTGGGGCGTGACACATTAACAACTGTGACTGCAGAAGGACTATAGGAGGATTTCTGCTTATTTGTTTCTAGGTTGTTTGTAAATTATTTGACTTAGGACCATCAAAAAAGAGCATTTCTGCAAGTTGGCTACCATTGTGATATTGGTTATTGAGAAAAAAACAATACTGCGCTTCTTTGGTGAGGAAGTCTGGTTACCTGCATTCATTACAGCACTACCATCTCAGTGAGCGATGGGGACGTTTTTGTGCACTTGTGATAATGAGAAATCAGCACCAGTGGCATGTCCAGGCCTTTTAAAATGGGGTGGGTGGGGCACTTGTGTATGACACCTAGAGTTATGCTTTTTTTTTGGAGAACAAGAAGGGAGGGTGTCACCCCTCAAAAAATAATTAATTATTTGCATTCTAGTGAATTTCTCATTTCTAGGCTAGAAACCAATGCTAAAGATGTTTGCTGCCACCTGCTGATTTAGGGGTTAGTACCTTTTATGGACAGTGTAAAGTCCGTTTGAATGAAACTCATTGGGATGGCCAATAAGATTCCAAGGTTGGCATGTGCTATCCTAGGCCACTCACTGGACTCGCTGCCCCTGAGCAGCAAGGCAACAGAACCTCTACTGAGGAAGTTTAAATCTTCTTAAAGTGTTCACACAGCCGGTCATTACATCTAAAAATAAGTCCAGCCTGTTTTAGTATAGTAAAAGTTTTTTTCTACGTCTGCTCATCAGTTTCAGGTTACATCCCTACCTCACCTGGCAAAGGTGCCAACAGCACTCCTGTTCCCAAAATGATCCCTAAAGCTCCAACAGACACTTCACGCAGAGGACCCTCGCTGGTCAAGTATGTCTGCTTGTTCCCTTTAATGTGTTCCCTACTTTTACTCTAAAATTAATAAGCAAAAATAGAATTACTAAACTTTTACATCTTCTTCTAGCACTTTCACACTGAAGAAAAACTAGCTGTAGAATGTTCTGCTGGTATTGGGAACACTGTTTCATGCTTTTCCTCTGACGGGTTTGTCTCATATTCCCAGCTGCACTGATGGAAACCTGAACTCAGAATTCTGTTTGAACACGGTGGTGACAGCTCCTCATGGTCAGTACTCACCTCTGCCATTTGTACAGTAAGAGAAATCATAAAATGATGTTTATAATAACATTCACTTATTAACTTTTCCCAGTTAATAAGTGTAACTGGGAAAAGATAAATGTGTCCATGTGTTTGGAAAACTAAGAAAAAAGAAAGTAATTCTGAAAAAAAGGTTTGAGAACCATCAAGAACTTTAACCCTCCGGAGGCAGGCGTTGCAGATTTGCAACAGTTAAAACCTACCTGGTTACTCCACATACAGTACGTATTTCATGAACATTTTTTAGCTCAGAAGTACCCCTGAAGGACTTAGTTGTTTGTCCTTTTGTCAAAACATATTTTGAGCCTGAGAGGGTTAAACCTTAGAATTGGTGTCTTGTTGAATTGCTTTTTAACATTTAAAGCAACATTAAAACGGTGTCCTGCTTCTCCCCCTACTGGTTGACACCAGAATTACAGGTGTCATAAACAACCCTGTCGCAGCCTGCTAGCCTGGCAAGCCAGACTAAATCAGAATATTATTTATTTATATTTGTATTGTATTCTTTTTTTAGACCAAACTTTGCAAAGCAAGAGTTTGGTCTAGTTCACTAGGCTAGCAACCTGCTGTAGCTAGCGCTAACGAGTTAACACTGACATAAGCCAGTAACTAAGCCGCAAAGTGAAAAGATCCACACTGTTGCATGGAAAATATTATTATAAAGTACAGTGGCAATAAAGCCAGGTCACCATCAGTCTGTGATTTCATAGCCTCCTTCAGCTCCCTCAAACTACTGTAGGCCACACCGTGCCTTACCTCCAAAGACATCACTTTCTTAATTTTACTTCCTGGCTCTGCTGTGGTGCCAACACGAGAAGGCAATCTTTTTCTACTCCTTGTGCATTTTATTGACAGTGAGCAAACTGAAATGCTAACTTTTAGCTATCATCAAAGTAAACAGCGAACAGTGTGAAGCAGGTAGAGAGCTCCCTCTGGTGAACCTACCCATCCCACAAGCTAAGTGCAGTATGTGGTCAGCAGAAGGCAGCAGATTGATGTACAATGTGAAGTTGGTAACATTTCTACTGAAATCCACTTTTAAAAGAATAGCTTAAATTGTTAAAAACTCTTTGGCGTGGCTTTAAATGCATTAGTTCATTGGAAACAGACAGAAAGTTATGGATGAATAAATAACATTTGACAGAAAAGGGTGACATCAGTACAAACTCCAGCCCAGGCCTGTGGACATTTTGCCATAAAGAGTTGTCTGAAGTCTGAAGAGGTGTTTTGTGATTATTACAGATTTGGCCCAAAAACATCTCTTAAGTTTTATTATTATTGTAATGGAGGTTCTGAGTGAGCAGCATCACTGGGTTAACTAGAAAAATAACAAATTTGTTTTCTTGAATCAAATTTCATTCTCACAGCTACATCAACTGCATCAGCAAAACTAAGAGAACTTCCTTCAGTTCTTCAAAATAAGAGTCTTAAACATGCCTCAGAATACATTTGAAACATCTAAAGCAAAAAAAAGTGATTTATTTATTTATTGTTCTCTGTTTAATTGTATACCGCAACCCAAAACACTAATGTTCTGTATGTGCTATCCTTTTTTCCCTATTATTACGAAATGTTCTGAAGTATTATATCCACATTATTCATTTACCCAAAGCATTATGGGTATTGTAGGTCTTTGAGCAGGGCTAGTTTAGTTTCAAACTACTCTTTCATCCTAAAATAGCAATTTTACATGTATTAGTACAATATATTTAGCCGATATTCACCTTTTTTTTTTACATCGGCCGATATTTGTCCATAGTAAAGCTGATAAATGTCAGGCACATCCTCGGGCAGGCTGGTGCTGTTGCAGAATTTAATTTAAATGTGTTTTTACATTCACTAATAACGTCTACATAATAAATACACTAAACTAACCTTATTTAGGTGTCTGATTTAAACATTGAACAGTTCACAAAGTTAAGATTTAGCATGAAAATAAGGTGGAAAATTTCTAGATATCGGCCATTAAAATCGACCCTTAAAAACCGGCCGTACATATCGGCCGACAGTATCGGCAATAGAAAAAACAATATCGGTCGACCTCTAATTAGTACTACATGTTTTGGAATGATTTAGACATTTTTTTGTTTACATTTGGACTTTAGTTAAAGAACTAGGACTTTTTAAACATTTTCTACCTGTTTTAGGGGAAGGACTTCATATCAGCTATGTGATAGGCGGAGTTCTCACCATCCTGGCCATTCTCATCCTCATTGCTGCCTTCATTATTTACAGGTCAGTCACTTAATGGATGCTTGGACTTTAACACCCTTGGTTTGAGTAGAGCTTCTATATGCTTTATTTGTGCGTTTACGTTTTTATTTATGATCCACAGACACAAAAAGTCAAAGTTTGCCGAACCGGGAGTGAGCAACCTGACTTACAGTAACCCCTCGTACCGAACGTCCACACAAGAGGTGAAGATCGAAGCCTCGCAGAAGCCTCCGATATACAACCAGCTTCGATATAAGAAAGAGGTAAAAGCCAAGATGTACAGCGATGATTTCCTCTTTAATAATTAGATCAATTTCAGTGTTATTTAATAAGTTTTGCTTTGTTTATTTGTGGCAACAGAAGAAATAATAGATGTTTGTCTCACTCAGACCACTTTCTTCCTCACTGCAGCGCTCTCATCCCTACAACTCCCTATCTCCCTTTATTTTTTGACCCACTTGTACCAAGGAGAGGTAGCTGCACAGCATGGAGTGGTTTTCTGTCCAGCTCTGATGGTCCTTTATTTGTGTCCTTCTGGATTTTTGCCTTTCTGCATGACCACCTTTCTCCCGAGTCACTAACACTTCTTTGTCCAGTGAAGAAACGTAACGTTAATAGAGATCATTAACATAATGGTGTTTGTTCTACTTACAGTGTTCTGAAGAAGGATTTGCCCCTCACAGATTTTGTTTTGCCACCCAAAAATATTTAAGATCAGCAGACTAATTTCAAGGACTAGCTGTGTGTGAAATGGAGTGGTGGTTATCCCGAAGGTTTTGAGGATCATCAAGATGTTAAATTGGTAAATGTGAGAAGAGCTTTTGTGTTCTTGTTGAGTTGGCCTTGGAACGCTCCCATGAGGCTTTTTCCTGCCCGTCTCTTATTGTTGAAGCATGAACTCTGACCTTAACATGAACCAAGGGAGAGCTGCAGTGCTTTAGATTCTCTTCTTTTGTTCTTAAATGACTTCAAAATGGGACATAATATGTTGCTTTTTGAGATTGTTAAGCCATGTTGGAAGTAATCAAACCAGTTTGGGTCACGGTGTGTCCAGTGAAATTAAACTTTGCAAATAATGTTGGTAGTCATGATTAATTCTTAATTAATCTGAAATATTTATGTGTCACAAAAAAAGCAAAAAACAGAAGCAGTGAGTGGGCAAATACATTTTTCCCGGCACCGTGAATGGGAAAAAGGCATGCCATGGCTTGTAAAAAAGTAACTTCCTAAATTGATCACACAACAGTTCAGTTGATCCAGTTCCAGATTACACGTCTCAAAGAAAGAGTGCAGCATTACTAAGTTAGATAAATAACAGTCAGACTGATGCATGAATTGTGATGGAATGGATTTTGCTTCTGGAGTGTGGTAAACATTGCCCGGTTGGTGATTTAATCCAATAGAGGAAGACTGCCTAAAACAGACTGAATATACAGTATCCTGTTTCTCTTTATTATTATTATTATTATTATTATTATTGTTTGAATGCTGTAAAGCATTGAAACTATAGTGATCCTGTTTGTCTTTATAGTTAGTTAGTTAGTTAGTTTATTGTTTGAATGCTGTAGTGATCCTGTTTCTCTTTATAGTTAGTTTATTATTCTGCTTCCGTACGTTTTTTGGCATTTAACTGCATCCACAATTCTTCAGCTATTTACACAATTTTGGTATCAAAACGTTCAGCTCGTTCAGCTTATGCCAGCAGTGACTTTTGGTATTAAAATATTTTATACTTTTTGAGATATTCAGCTTTTTCTGCGATTTTTGGTCCCATTGAAATGAATGGGATTGCTCAATTTTCATCTAAATCCTATCACTTTTTTGAACTCTTACTCTTATAGGTTAACTTTAACCTAGAGACTTCATTCAGGTTTCAACAAACTCACAAGACTTTCAGTTATTATTGGTTAAAAAATCTTTATCTATTACAGTTTTTCTAAAATCACAGGTAGAAGTTGAGGTACGGCTTGAGATTTTTTTTAAAAATCGCAAAAATTATAATGGGCAGAGATAGGAGCAATAACCCTCCTTTGCTCCATTTATGGCATTGTCCTGAGAAAACCGTAAGTCTCATTTAAATGAGACGCACGCTGGTTTGCAGCAAACGTATATACCTTCATTTTGAGCTATAAATCATGAATGTACTCCAAACATTGTGGTCGTACGGTTCATTTCTTTGACAATATTCAACATTTAAAAAATGGCTCTCACCACTCTAACCTGAAGATTCCACACTCTTAACTTTTGACCTTCACATTTTCTGGAAACAACTCTTTCCAACACCCAGACCGTTTGGAGTACCGAAACAAATAATATCTCAAAAAGTAGGAATTTTTTTGGTTTTTCAGAATGGGTTTCATTTTATCCTTAAGTGTTACATTTCTTTCTCTACAAACCTTAGAAAGAGGAGAGACCCTGATTCTGTCTCACTGAAACCCATGTTAAAGGAACAGATTTTCTCCTCCGATCGGCTTCAGACAGCTAAAAATGTTCTCATCATAGCTTCTAGACAATTCACGGTAGGCACATAAAAATTGACACAGATGACCATCAAAGCCTTCTGCCGCTCTTGCTTTTTGAATTTTTCCAATAGGTGCAGCAGTTTTTGAATGGCCATAAGATGTGTCAGAGGTCTGAAATGACATCTGAGCAGCTGAGCACTGTTAACTGCATGATTTATGAAATATTGAAACAAAAATTTCCACCGACCACATCTTTTATAGTACACTAAAAGGATATTCTCAAATTCGTTAGGTTATTTTGTCCACTTCAAAGTGATGTCTTCGGTTTTGCTGTTGGTATTACATTTTTTGTGCTATAAGCTCCAGAAGGAGGGCTGTGCCAGCTTTCCTCCATTTAAACCCCTTTAAAAAAAGGCACCTGTGGCCGACAGACAGCTGAAATGTTCTCCTCATATCTTCTAGAACATTTGTGTTAGGCATACAAGACTCCACACACATGACCACCAAAGCCTTCTGCGGCCCACGCTTTTTGAATTTTTCAAATCGGTGCAGTACTTTTCGAATGGTGATGAGAAGTTTGACAGGTCCAATTTCACTTCTGCAGTACAGATTTAAAGGCTTCTCATTAACAGGAGTAAAGCTGCAGGCCTCCAACAGCTGGGAGTAAAGGCAGCAAAACAGTGCTTCTCTCTGATTGGTTGAGAGTGTTCAACCATTTTCTGTCCAAGCAGAATCGAGCACCCAAACATATGATACATCAAATCGACCAGCTTGGTTTCAGGAGTCTTGTATTAAATTTTAAATGTGTTATCTGTTACCATGGTAATACAAGTGCATAAGGATATCCCCAAACAAGTCTCATTGAAATGAATGTGAAAAGCCTAATATCGAGCCTATAACATACTGCTGTTTCTTATCTTTCTGAGCTCTATACACTTAAAACTAGCAGCATAGCTGACATTTTAACACTAGTCAGAAGGCAGGAACCGCCCCCTCCTCCTTCGCTGCTCTCTCATTGGCTGAGAGTTTTCAATCGTCTTCTGCTTAAAAGGAAATATGCACCCACACATATGATACATCAATTAAACCTGCTTGGTCTCAGGAGTCTTGTTTAACAACATTTTAGACACAACTGTATCAACATACTTTAATATAGAAATGTTATTCAAAGTTTAAAAGAGTCATGTGACATTGTACATTGCTTTATTAAAGCAGACTCCTGTCATCTGTTACCATGGCATTACAAGGAACTACAAATCACTTTAACCAAGTCTCATAGGAATTAATATAAAAAGCTGAATATTGAGCCAAAAACAGACTTCTGTTTTTGATATTTTTGAACTATCTGTACTTAAAACTAGAAACAAGTTAAATTTGATTGACCGTCAGAAGGTGGGAAAGTGCCCCGCTCCCTCCCAGCTCCCTGATTGGTTGAGAAAGGTCAATCATCTTCTGGCTAAATGGAATTACACACCCACTTATGTGAGACATCAAATCAATCGGCTTGGCCTAAGGAATCCATCCATCCACATATAAATCCATCCATTCTTCTTTCCATCCATCCATTCATCCAATAAACATCTAACATCCATCCAACAGTCCATCCATCATTTCATTCATCCAGCCATTCATCAATTCCATACCAAGTCTGAACATATGTTGATCTATCAGTTTCAGATGTCAGTAAATGTTTCTAAATTCACAGTTCAGCCAATTGTAAAAATGTACCTATTAAACTATTCTCATTCAAATGCTAGCTGTTTAAACATTTCAACTTTTGAGTTCTTAATAAATGTTCAAATATTTAAGTTTTCTGCAGTTTAGCATATTTTTGTCCATTCTTCACCTATATTCTGAGCTTTATTACACTTGTTGGTGATTTTTGCTTCTAAATCTTTAAATACATTCAGCTCATTTTGACAGTTTAGCTTAGTTTCAGCTTTACTTCAGCTATTCAGCAGCTTCAGCAATCAGTTTCCAAATTTAGCACATGCTGCTAATTTCACAGTTCAGCTAAATGTAAAGATTAAACTGTTAAACTTGTCCTACTGAAATAACAGGTGTTTAGACATTTTAGCAGTCCAGATTTTTATACAATGTTCACAAATTTCAGTTTTCTGCTGTTTAGGATTGTTTTTCTCTATTATTCACTTACCTTTTGTGCTTTACTTGGTTGCTGGTGCTTTTTGATTCTACATCTTTCAATACATTCGGCTCATTTTGACAGTTTTGCTTACTTTCAGCTTCAGTTCAGCTGTTCAGCTGTTTCAGCTATCCAGCATTCAAACTGCATTTCTGCAAGAAATGCAATTTTTTCTAGTTTTTGTTGGATTTCCATCTTTTATAGGGAAAAAGAAAGTTTCAAACAATTTGTATGTTTGATGTGTGTGTAAGTGAAAGTGGTTATTCTGAGATAAAACAACTTAAACAGACCTGTTAAGGTTGTTGTTTAAAGCTGCAGATAAAGACAAGTGTTTCTGACTGCCATACAATGTGTCCTTATCCAGGGAGGAGTGGATGCAGGCTACACTAAAGAGAAGATCCGCATAGTGGAGGGTGTGTGTCTACTGTCTAGCGAGGACCTTTACTGGGATGACCTAAAACAAATCAAGCACTCCCGAGGCGGCCTCCACACCTGCATTCGCACCGACACAGTTTCCCTGCAGACCAGCAGCGCGTCGCTCGACGATGGTGAAACCGAGCAGCTCCTCCAGGAGGAAGCATCTGAATGCTCCTCCATAACCACGCTGACCCCTTCAGCCATTACCCCACAACGCCACGCCCAGCATAGCCTGCCCGACACCGGCTGGGCTTCATTACGCAAGCCCTCAACTGAAAGCGAAGTGTGAGACAAGACACCTGAGCTTTATCTCAACCATCATTGCAGAACACACACATACACTCCCAGATGCTGTAGAGCTGGAAAAATACAAAGATTAATAGTTACAAACATAACTACAGTAAAATATGTAAACTAGTAGTACAAAAGAACCTGGTTAGACACAAAAACTCCTGTCTTTGCAGCTAGGACTCTTTTAATTGTGCACAAACGCAGAACATCAGGACTCTCAGTGCTGCCTCCAGGCTGAAACAGACAAACAAAATCAAATCTGAGGAGCCTGCAGGAATAAGAAAGCAAAAAGGACTCCAGGGAGGAAGTGAATGGTTCCACAAACAGTGTCTGGAGCCTTTATAAAGGATGGAGACCAGCGCCTCTCTGTGTACAATGTTAACTCTATTTTTGTGAACTGTTTTTTGGGAGGAAGTTTAACCCACACACCCCAGATGATGTAACTGCTGTGCTTGCCCAAATGCCACTCGTGTGTTTATGAACTTTATTTATGAACTTTTTTTACTTGTCGAGTGGGTTTGCTGGCTTTCATAGCGTTACGTTGGACGCTTGTGCAGCACGACTTGGTTGTATTTATGACGGTGCCAAAGGGTGGGGGCCTCACAGTCTCCACGCTTCTCTCCTCATGAACGCTCGCATCGAAATCGACCCGAATTATGGAGCGTTTTATGTGTTTCACTTCACCGGCTTGCCGTCGCAGGTCGGAGACCTCTGAATGATGTTAGCTTCTGATTTGCCGGTTTATCACCTCCAAATGAGAAATGGCTGTAGCAGGTACGCTCTGACCGTTCATTTATTTTCTGCTGAATTAACCAGACTGGAGCTAATTTGAGCTACATTAGTGATTGGGTGCAACAGAACATGAAGCAACAGCCTGAGTGCCAAACATTTTTTTATTTTTCTAAATTGGTGTACTTGTTCTAGGACTCATGACATCTTTCTAACTTGCTGCTGCTCAGCTTTGCAGATTTTTGTGATTTTATGCTTCCAAGTTTGGGCAAAAATGCCTTTTTCTTATTTAGCAACATCTTTTATCTCAGAAAAAAAAAAGCTTTCCCAAGGCTTGTGTAAGGATTTTCATTATATAAGCTAGCACTTAACTATTAGAATGTAAAACCTCGTGTTGGTGACAGAGTCAACGCCTTTTCATAGAAAAAAATAATGTTTTTTAAATTTTGTTCCCATTGCAAGTGTGTCACTGATAACTTTTTATTAATTGCTTGACATTTTAACTTTTTCAAACTTGTTTCTAAACAATCTTCGAGGAAAAACTTCAGGTTTCGGTTTGGTACTCAGCTGAAGGGCTTAGTGTTCAGTCCAGAGGCGACTTATCAAAAACTTGGCTCTTATTTTGAAAAGTATCTCCTCGGCCAAATGCTGTATAAAGGTAAATGACAACATGTGTTTCTTTGTTATTTAAGTTGAAATCGGTAACTCTACATATGAAATGCACCAGTCATCTCACAATTCAGCTTAACAAACCGTAACTTTGGTACAGTGTGCATGTCTGACCTCTTAACACAGTGGATGTTATTATTTACATATATGTCAATGACAACATACTCAGATTTTAACTAATGTAAAGATTTTGTGTATTGCTTTATATTTAGACTACAATTTTTGCTGTTGAAATGCAGTACAATGAAATACTATATTACTATACTGACAGATCTCTTTTAGATTCAATAGACATATTTTGAAGTATCTGCTACAAGCTCAGCAACTTGCTGATCTGCTGCTAGACTAAGCACTGAAGCCAATGAAAGAGGGTCTTGGCAGCTACATAACTACAGTCTCTAATGGTTAGTTGACAGTAGGCCTACGATGTAAGAAAACCCAGTGTCAAATTCTCTCAGCTCTCAGTCCCTCCAACTCTGCTGCAGGAATGCTAAAACTGTACAGATTTTCTCAAAGCGAACATTTCTGTTAATATTGTGTTAATCGACCTGTATAGTCTTTTGTACAAAGGGATTTAATGATTTGTATTAATTTTACTCACTGGAGAAAAGCATTTTTTGTTGTTTGTGCTGGATTATTTTAACCACTGTGTTTTTAAGCCTTGTAAATGATGGGGAAGATGCCAGTTATTTAATAGTGCTCTTTTATCTTCTGAAATACTGGTCACATATAGCTGTTGTAAAGTTAACAAAAAGAGGTATTTATGATTTTTTTTCCCCTCATTCTTTTTTGGTTATGCTGTCACTTGATGTGTAAATATGAAAAGACTGTATATGTATTTCCCTGGCAGTACTAACAGTGTGTGATATAGTGAATTATCCCTTTGCTATCTTTTAATATAAAATTGCATTTGCATTTCAATGAAATCTTTGACTCACTCATCTTTGCACTTTTGCTCCTGTGTTTAAATTTTTATTTCACTAAATATTTATAATTAGTGCGTTTTTGAGCTTTATCTCACTTAAAATGTCTTTTTTTATGATTGGGGGAAATGAAGCCTTGGAAGGAACCAGAGCTGATCTGAGCTGCTGTTGAACCAGCCTGACCATTCTCTGTAAACCCTAGAGATGGGCTGTAGATGAAATTCCCATTAGATTCGACCAGCCCCTCTGGAACCAACATTCAGCTCAAGTTTGAAAATTCAGTCCTATGATTGGTTAATTACTTTTTTGTGTTGCTATAAAGGGTGTGTTTTCATTAAAACAGTTCCTACACCAGCTGATGCCCATCACTGACGAAGCAACACGCTCAGGTTTATGTGCTGGAAACGGTGCACCCTCTGAATTTAATGGAATGAAAGCAAATACCGGTAAGTCGTTGCTGGCGAGTGAAGCAATAAAGCTTGTTCAATTTTATTATCAAGTGTTGCTTTGCTCAGAGGAAAAACAGGAAGTGACTTTTATGAATGAAATGAAACAATAATTATTTTCTAGACAAGCTTTTTTTTATTTTAAGAGCTTGCAAAGTCTTTAAGAAACACTTAGTACTAACAGCTTGCTGGAAATCGTCAGTATTTCAAAACTAGCTGACAGTCCCAACAACTTATTTTGAAAGGTATTCCTCCATAAGCAAGTGACATGACACGCGATTCATCATTGGCTGTGAAAAGAGCAATTTAATTGGCCAATAGGCTCGCAGTCGTGACGTTTGACCAATCGGTGACTAGAAGAGTTTGCTCAACGCTCTGGTTTGAAGCTAAGGGAGATCCACCACAAAGGCGCGAGTGAAGTTATCGAAGCTAAGCTAACTCAGTTAAATTACAGCAACGTGAGGGTAATTTGTTTAGCTGGGAAGTTAAAGTCACTATTCTGTTAGTAGTCGTCGATGCTTTTACGGCACCCGCTCCTATATTTCACAAGTATTGAATTTGTTGAGGAAATGCCAGATGCTATAAAAATAGCTAACACTTAAGCTAAGTCAGTTGATTACAATACGATTACAATAGACCAAGTTAACTTTTAGCTGGTATCAGGTTACCTTCCTGGGTCCTGTACCTTTATCAGCTAGCCTGCTTTATTTTATTTTCTTGTTCTGGTGGGCGTGTTTAGCTTTTTAGGCAAAGCTGTGAGGCATGGGGACTAAGCACGTGAGCAGAAGTGATGGTGGATCATTCTGTACAGCGGCAGTCGACGACTTAAAAACAAGGTAAGGAATTCCACACGCAAGCCATTACATACGGCATATGTGTCAAGCAGCTCTGTACATGCAGGCCTGTGTTCGAGGTAAGGTGTGGTGGGTGTGAGAGTGATGAGTTGCACTCATCTGCTGGGGTCTGCTGCAGTGGCATCAGCACTCCAGGCTGAAGTAATCTGAAGAGATAAACGTTGCACAGGGGCCATCTGACTCAAACCCACCGGAACCCATTCCCTGATATCTATTATAGAACTTAATAATTGTCTCAAAATGTCCTGAGTTTTAACTCGTTTCTCTTCCTGGTATGGATCTAGATCTGGAACTTGGAGGCTAGAATCCTGTGGTGCTTGAAAAGCCAGTCTCAGCTGTCTTGGCCTGGAATTTCTTCCCAAGGTCTGTAGAAATTATGTTATTCTCTTTTTACTAAAGAGCTTGTTGAAGTAGCTGACGTGATTCCAGGTGCCTCCAGTCTTAGTTTAGCACTTAGATGTGTCATTCCCTAGATGAATAAGACCGTTAATATTTCATCCTCACAGCTGGAGTCGGCATCCTTTGAATGTGAAAATTTCTGTATGAAACACCTGCTACTGTCTTAAAAATGTAGCACCTTGCAGCTTTATTTTAATTCAACTCATAATGACTAATATCGAAGGTGAGTCAGATCATTTATCTGACTCCTGTTTTTAAATGCCACTTAAAAATTGCTCTTAACATTTTAATGGAGTTAAACGAACAGATCTAATTTCATTTACCTCAGGGGTGTTCAACCTTGGTTCTGCAGGATCATTATCCAGCATGTTTTTGTTGTTTCCCTGCTCCAACACAGCTGATTCTATGGTCATTAAGCTCTGCTGAAACCCTAGGTCATCCACTGACTAAATCAGGTGTGCTGAAGCAGAGAAACATCTAAAACAAGCTGTAAATGGGGCTATAGAGAGCTGAGGTGTGACACCACTGATGAACTACATTAAAAACGCACTGATGGGGAGGTGGCAGTGATGAGTTGCACTAATAGACAGGTTTGTGTGCAGTGGCACAGCAGACCTGTCCTGACCCAAACGTGGTGACACTTACTGTGCACAGGGGCCATCTGAGCCACCTCTCCTTGACTGAAATATGACACGTGAAACAACGGAGTTGTGCCACTGTTACCTAACTTCACAATTCTCCTTCAGCCTCAAGACTGAAGAAACGAGTGGTAGATGAGATGTTTGAAGACTAGTGAGTCCTGCCAATTCCTGCTTCAGTGGAAAAAGGCTTACAGTGGTAAGATTAAGAACTATGTTTAACCATAACAACTAGTGATGTGCCAAAGAAGCCTCATGAAGCGCTGTGAAGCATTTTCTACTGTGCTGAGGCCTCAAGCACATTAGCTGTGGCACCATCTGGTGGTACTTTATAACATTACAACACATTAAAATGCTGCACACACTGTGTCTGAAGATGTCACTGCAGGCAAAAATTCATCAAATCCGATTTTTCCTGAGTCTGAACAGCACAGATTGGATTTTATATTTTTTCAAATCCGACCCAGGTCGCTTTAATTTGTGGCACTTATTCCATTTTTGAAAGCGACTGCCGTCTAAATGGTCATGTCTCATTAAATCCGCCTCACGTCACTGATCAGCAGAGGGGTGTGTGGTGTGTTGACGTTCCTGAACTCCCTAGTTGGGATGCTGCCCCTGCGACCCGGACCCATATAGGCCGAAGAAGACAAGACGAGAACTCCACACAGACGCATGGACCAAACTAAAACGACTCACAAATCACTGAGGTTTGGCAGCTTTTATTTTGAAAATGACACAGAAAACGAACCAGTCATGTGACTCAGGCAAACAGGCTTAGTTTGTGATCAGTCACGTGGTTTTCTGCTAAATGAAGCATGCCTCGAAGTGGGGCTTCATGGACACGCCCCCTTTCTGCTCGATACAAGCCTCGCTTCGTTTGTCCATCACTCGTAACCACCAATGACTGACGAGAATTTGCTGTTAAATGCAAACTTACTGATTTATGCTGAACTCTATTTAGAACAATACACCGATGCCAACTTTTTATAACTATAAAGAAACAACATTATTTTGGTGCTGCAAACCTTTTGCACTTTTAAAATAAAATTTAAATGTTATGTTTGCAAATTTAACATTTTACAGAGGTGAGTACTTCTATTGTGCATCATTCAGAACTGTTGACCCAATTCCAGACGTTCTAAACCCTGTGTGTGTTAGTATTGGCACAGCATTTTAGGTGGTTGCTGCTCAGAGGCATCCCGACCACATACTTGTGCTATGGTTGCAAGGATTGTGCATGTTATTAGATTTAGACTAAATCAACTCTACCTCCATGATTTCAGAGCATAAGAGAATCTTGGTTTAGAACGTAAGCAGGAAAAAATGGATGCCTTTGAGGAAATTGATCAATTGAATATGATTGTCTTTTCTAGTTAGCAGCAGTCAGCCTCATGGCCAGAAAACCTTGAAGTTCTGGGACCATCATACATCACCTAAGGGTTCATCTGGGACTCTCACCTGTATCACCTGTCTGCCAAAGATGACACCGTGTACATCTGGAAAATGCGTCACCACCACTATAATCTCCGTCACCTCTCAAGGATATGAAGTTATGCAAAAGTTTGAAGTAACAAACTTCCGTTTTAATGATTTATTTTACTAAACAGCTTGTGAGATTGTGATTCATTGTGGATGTACTAAACTGTGGCAGGTGTGCAGTTTTGTGGTACTAAACCCAGCCTGATGAGTTGGTGTCAGACCAATTCACACAAAGTTGCCCAGAATGACCAGACTCATTATTTTAGCTTGGAACTGTTTAATCCCATGTATTGTCTGTTTGACACTTTTGATATAAAATTGTTTTTATTTATTTATTAGTTTTTTTAAATCAAGTTAGTTCAGTTTCTCTCCTGCTGCAGTGTTGTCTTTTATTTTTCAGTATTCTCATCTCTGTCAGAAAACTTGGGAAACTAACTAGGTTTCTCAACGCGTGCATTGGATTTTCAGACCTTAACCAACTCTCTGGTGAGCGTGTCCACACCGTGTTTTTACACTAAAGGTTTGAACACATTTGCCCTGCGTGGGCTATGCTCTCAAGGAGATTGCATGTTCACATGCCTGTTAATAACTTTGGTTTTTAAAACCATACCTCAGAACCCAGAGCACTGAAATAACATTTTACCTGTCGGTGTTTAGTTTTTGCACTTTTACAAGTAATTTGAAGCTGTTTGGTTTCACCTTTTAACAACCGTCATGGACATTAAACTGAATGGATCTTGCAGGATGGATTTCCCCCACCTGAACTATGTTGGAGATTCCTTTTATCACCTGTTCCAAGTCTTATGTTTCTGAGAGGATCTGTATTAACATGTCCTACGTCTGTAGTTATAAAAATAAGTGTTTCTCCATTTGTTTTGATGTTTTCAGAAATAAAGTACTACATTCCAATTCAAGATCCAGATTGGTTATTTTGGTTTAGACCGTTAGCACAAGAAGGTTTTAGGATCAAGACACCTTTCAGTTAGAAATGTAAATGTAGAGATCATGCATGGCTTAAAGGTTTCTACATGCTTTCTGCTACTGAAGACATGAACCAGTGAAGCTGACAGCTGGGCTCTTTAGTTTACCTGCTGGGGTCTCTTCCCACTTCTGCTGCATTCTGTGTTTGGCCACTAGGTGGCAGCAGTTGTATACTGCTGTTTCCACTCGTCCTTGTATGTTGAAGAAAAAACTACAAATCTTCAAAGGTCCTGCAACAGTAACATTTTAGTCCGTTATGTTCATGACCCTGAAAGATGAGGCATTTTTACATGATATTGTTTCTTAAAAGCAATGTTGATAATTTATAGTATTGTACAATTTAAAGTCTTAGACAAATAAAAAACCCATTTAAAAGATGTTTGTACACTTTCCTTTTACTCTAAAATAAAACATTTGCCTCCCATAGCTCTCTACAAACCCGGACTGCATTAATAGTAAACAAGGCTTTGTTTCTGATTGAAGGCTAATTCAGAGTAGAGTAGCTCAAGGTCCAACCTAACATGTTGATGTTTTACTGTCTACAGACATGTGTTCCATTTTATCTATTTGCTGCTTTGCAATTACAAGAAGAGTTTGTATTTTTGGTACTCATCTTGATGGAAATTCTTCCAGTTTCAACAGAGTATAAGTGAGGTTAGCGACATACTGGATGTGTCACACAAACCTGTACAGGGCCAGAGGTTTCATTTCTAAAACTGCACAGAATCCTCCCTAAAGGTCTACCTGAGCTCAGCAGAAACCTTCACTCATGCAGAGTAATTGTTGGACCTATAAAACACTGCAAACACCCAGCTGCATGCTGTTCCTGCTTTATAAAGCAGAAATATTCTCAGGTGATATTTGATTATATCCTCCATACACAACCACATTCTGCCATATATGGTCAATGCAAAAGACTTCATGAATATTCTGCATATACATAAACTCTGGTAACCAGAGCAACGAAGAGATGTGAAAGTGAGGTAGAGGCAGAAGTTTTTATTGCCTTCAAGTGGCACAGAGTTGTTGCAGAGGTGAAGGCAGTGAGTGGCCACGCCACAGAAAGGTCATGGCAGACATAAAGCATTGGTCATATGTGAAGGTGGAGGCAAAGAGGAGGATGTCAATAGTCATTTTAATGGGTGCACAAGCTCAGAACTGCATTTATGTAAACCTAGCATGCACTCTTCACCCCAAAGTGCTATTAAACTTCCTGAACTATCCTAGTCATATCTGACCCAAGCATGTGGGCACTTTGAAAGCACAATCCAACAGAAACACTGTTCACCTCATATCAGACTTTAAAATTACACTAATAATTAACACAAACACTTATTACAATAAATGAGAATGGAGTAAAAAAAAGTAAATGTGTGTGTTATGAATGTGGTGTGTCGCATGTTACGTAGTAGCGACTTCCAAAGTGAATTTCCGCCACGACGTTGTCAGAACGTCACATAGGGCGTTGCTGGAAGGTTGTTGCGACATATCCACAACTTTACTGCGATGTTGTGACAACATACCCACTAAATGTTGGCATGTTGCAGAGACGTTTTCAGGTTAACTTTTTTTTGTCACCTTTATTCATTATGTAGATACCAGAGGAAATTATATTGCAAAACTAATGGCAGATTAACAGCAAAAACAACCAGAATGGCAAAACAAATGTATAAAAACCTTAAAAACAAGTAATATAGGACAGTGGTGTCTTCATTTCATTTAAAAAAATAAGCTCTACTGCATATGTTTAGTAGTAGGCAGCAGGATCAGATGTAATTTCACAAAGGATGGACAATAAACTGACTTTTCAGCCTTTTATTACATAAAGGTTTGACATTTTCATACACAATTTTAACAAAGCATTTTTATAGTGCCTCTCAAAATAAAATCACAAGGCGCTTCAAAAAAATAATTATATATATATATATATATATATATATATATATATATATATATATATATATATACATATAAAGCAAAAATTGTGAACAAAAAGAAAGAAAGAAAAAATAAGAAAACAGAAAGGGTGCAGGCGGCACCTATGTTTCGTGGATTTTGTCCACATGACCCTCTGCTGGGTGTGAACATGTTCAGATTGTTTTCCATACATTGCACATCTCCCTGTGGCTTGGATGAAAGAGATGACAGGACAGATTGACTTAGTCCTCCTCCGAAAAATGGGCCTCCATTTGTGTGGCCCAATGCTGAGCTTCAGCCTGAAGGAAAAAAAAGTCCAGTTAGTTTGTCTGACTTTACTTGAACAGACCAAATAAACTACAGTACGTAAGCTACCATGTGGTAGCTACCCACGCAGCATTGTTTGAGGGCAGATATATGCTACTGCCTTTTGTAAACCAAAATCACAACTATAATAACAAGCACATGATTTAAAACTTTTTCTTACCTGATGCAAGCAAACGAAAGAGTGAGTGGCTGACAAATACGTAAATCAGACAAAGTAGCCAAACAGCAAAGAGCAACTGGAAATGAATCTTGTGGGGGGGGGGAAAAAACATAAGAACAAAAACAGAGGCAGATTAAGCTGATTGGAAGATGGGCGTGGAACACGTGATGACCATAACAAATCAGAGAACTGGCTGGAACATCAGTCCGCTCCGCTGCGCTCCGCTCCGACACGAACGCCGGAGCAAAATCGGTCCCGTTGTAGTCAATTAGAGCTATTCCACTACTGCGGCCGTGCTCCGGCAGTGCGGCGCCGTGCGCCGCCCTCTGTTCCGGCGTCCGGCAAAAATAGAATCGATCCTATTTTTGCCGGACGCCGGAGCACCTCCGCAGTCAATGGACAGAAATCACAACCGCCCAACAGGAAAAGGAGCAAGCACAATTTCCGTTTTTCCACAATAAATCAATAAACAAAAGGCGTTTTTTGTTTCATATGCACAGGTTTAACAACTTTTAACAACTATCAATGGCGGCTGAAGTTTAAATGCACAAAAGTAAGCCATAAATACAGTTTCCACTATCAAAGTAGTCGCCCTTTGTTGATCCAAACACTGCTGATCTCTCTACACAAATGATGGGCAGATTAAACAGTTCATTTCGATGCTTCTCCCACACAACGGGTGTTTGGATCTAACTTCCGCGTTTATTGCTCGGACTGTATCGCAAGATCTCGAAAATCCCGCGCATGCTTGTTTGCCCACCTCAGGTCTCCGCACCGGAGCGGAGCCGTTTGGGTACCAATCATATGGGCCATTCCCATCTGTACCGGGTCGGCCCGGGCCGGGTAGCCCCAGTCGGCCCCAGCCTGGCCCGGTTGATTCCACACATCCTTGTCTTAAGCCCATGTGGGCTGATTCTACCCACCAATTAGATGCTTGCTCTAATGGAAGGTGTGAATGGGCTGATTCTACCCACCAATCAGAGGCTTGCTCTAATGGAAGGTGTGAATTGCTGTCAGCAGTGGGTGTGTTGGCCCTGGTCGGCCTGAAGCAGTACCCCTCGGGAAGAGGGCCGAGAATGAGCCTTGGTTGGCCCGGAAAAATACCAGGCCACCCAGATATGTAAACCACCTACGCTACCCGGCCCGGGCCGACCCGGTACAGATGGGAATGGGGCTATAGACTGTACATACCAATAAAAATTGAGTTCGGAAGCGAGCGGCTGCGGAGGGCGGGGGCGGACCGGAGCGGAGCGGAGGTAGTGGAATTTGGGGGTAATTGGTTGATTTTCAGGGTTGTTCTAACAAGCCATTCCATTGGAGAGCTGTGAGGGCAGTAACATAACTTAGCTTACATTTCTTCACTGGTGGATTTTAGAAAGTAAACATTTGTAAACAGCAAAAATGAGTTTTTCAGTAAACAAAGTTTTAAAAAATATCCAATTTTTTGGTAGAAAAACAGTTTTAGCCATGAAAGTGGAGTAATGGTTAACTTAATTATTGTCAAAACTCCAAATACTAACAAAAACAAAACATTGGAGGGCTGTGAGGGCAGGTTGTTATAATAAAGGGATTTAAGCCAGTGAAACCTAAACATTTCAAAAATATTCTCTACAAATAAAATATGCAGTTATAGAAACCACCAGATATCAGTTTTTATTTTTTTAATTGTTTTATTTGTAGTTTTATTTACACAATTTGTAAACAACAACACACACACCATCATCAGTCCCCTCTTGCACAACATGTACCTTTCTTTGTTGGTGGTTTTCTGAAAGGTAACAAAGGGTATATAGGACAGTATACAGGATATGAGTTAAATGCAATCCTTGTCTATACTGATGTCACACAATGTCCATCCTCATTCAAGAATCTGAGTAGCAGCTCCTCCTCAAACATTCCTGAATATTCAGAACTTGTTTTTGCCAAATGCAAAAATGACTTTTTTTCAGTAAACAAGTTAGAAAAGTCCAAGAATTTATTATTTTTATTAGAAAAATACTTCTTTAGCTATAAATGTGATTCAAATACTGCAACTAAAATTGTTTAATTGTCAAAACTCCAAATAGTAATTTAAAAGAAGCTTCCAAAAATAAAATAAATAAGATGCAGTTGTAGAATACACCAGAAGCAGATATCAGTTTTTACTTTTTATTTGTAGTGGTGGAATTTTTCTATGTGATTATCTAGTTAAGAGCACACTGTGTAGACAAATTTAAACACACACACACACACACACACACACACACACACACACACACACACACACACACACACACACACACTAATCATCAACATTCACCTCTTGCACAACATGTACCTTTGTTGGTGGGTTTTCAAAGGTAACAAATGGTAGTAGACAGGATATGATTTAAATGCAAATAATCCCCTTCGAGCTGACGCCCGTTAGTCATCCTCATTCAGGAATCTAGTAGCTCCTCCTTAAACATTTTGGTATTCAAACCTTGTTTTTGCCAAATGCAAACACGTTTTTTTTTCAGTAAACAAAGTTTAGAAAAGTTTTTTTCATAA